TTCAAAATCATAAGGTAGAAAGTCCTCAAATGTATTGGAAAGTACTCGCCAGTTGAAGCTCTTTCATCGTATATATGATTGTGCTGGATATAGGATGAAAAGTCCAATGGGCCAAATTACGGTCTTATGCGCCCGTGCCCTTACAATAAGAGCGTTCGCAAAGTCAAAAATAAGATGTCGCAAAGCTTCAGACAGACTGTCGACCATTAACCAGTTGTTGCTCAAAGACAAGTTTAGTTTTATCGTGTATTTATAACACGTTTATTGTAGCAGACGTGAGGCATACAAATATACATGAGCACGGAAACAAAAGGAACTATCGAGAAGCTGATAGAGAACCAAAAACTTCCTGGAAAGTACTAGAGAGAACATTCATAATTGTAGGGCTTTTCACGCTGCATCTTGTGGTAGATTTTGTTTTTTAATACAGTATATTAAAATAGAAAAGCAGTATCTTTGAAAAGCTGAAAAACGTCCGAAAATGCCTCAAAAAATATGGAAGTAGTATCCCAATCTCCTTTGGTAAAATTATTGAAATTTGAACTTTTTGGAAAAAAAGACATAAATGTTCTAGAAGAGGAGACTTCAGAACATCTTCCTATGATAAAAACTCAACTTCGGTTTTTTTCGAAAAAAATAGATTTTTGTTGTAAGGGGCCCTTAACTTTAACCGATTTCAATCATTTGACATTCACTTAAACAACATTCTCATTCAACTTAATCCATCAAACATTATTTGAAAAAGAAATCAGAGATTTTTTTACATGAGAATTCTTCGTCTTAAGTTTTGTGAAGATTTCTCTGATCAAAACAATAATTTAGAAATTGATTTTCCTTGCAATTGTATTTATGATTGATGTGTTCCTTCCTCTCAAATTCATTCTTGATCAATTAAATAGATTTGATCACTTTTTCCAATTGTTGATAAACAATGTGCAATCATTATTCTTGTTCGACTTACTCGGAGATATCTCGATCTTAAAGAAAAGTTGAACATAAAGCAATTGTTGTTGCATCTAAGATCAATATCGAAGATTTTTTTAATACAATCCGAGCTAATGCGAGACATTACTTATTCTCTTCCACTTAATTCAATTTTAATTTCATCAATTAATGCTTGATATTTCTTCAAAAGCAATAATGATTTTCTAAAAAGAAATTTTTCTCAGTGTTGAAAGAGAAACGATTTTGACTTGTTCTTATTGAACAACAGCGATGATTTGTTTTCAATATTATTGAAGATTAAATTGATCAATTGATTGTTATTTGATGAAATATTGTTGAATAATAACGAAGAACGAATGAATTCGTTGTTGATTTTCATAAAACAATTTGAATATCTGAAAAGAAAAATAGAAAATTGAAAGATGAGACAAGAACCACTTCCACTAACGAATGCTCCCATTTATCCAAAACGAAGATTTTTGAAAATCAATCGATCTTTTCGTGTTTGATAAGCAAATGAAACATTGAAATTGAAATATTTTCTTGGTTTTTTTTTGATTTGATGAAAAATGTTCATATGCATCGTCATTTTCGAAATCAATAAAAAGACTAAAAAGAAAATTCTCTTTGAGGAATCCTAACTTTAAAAACCAGTTGAAAACACAATTGATTTAATGGTCCATCTTTTAAAAAGGCAATAGGTGTCTCAAAATATATGGTTCACTTAGTGCTATATAAATATCATCACTGCTGATTAAAACTTCGTTTTCGGATTTCAACGTAATATAAACATATTGACTCTTTGGAAGTTGATAAACTATAACGTTTATAGCAACAATAACAAATTTTCAAAATTCTATAACAATAATTACTCATTTTTTTTTAGTAAATTATAAATCAGAAATGACGTCTGTGTCAAGTAATAGTGATTTTAGGTGTCCGACGATACTATGGTTTACTATGACAGATTTGAAATGATTTGCACGAGGATCTCATTTCAACAAACTGTGATATTTCATCAATTATTTATTAGTATATTGGCTGTATGCTGTACAATATCGATCTGATATCAGTCAAATTTTGTTCTTCGGTTGGTAATAAGAGATGATTCTTATGAAAAGTGTAGAAGAAATATCTATAAACCAAACTTTGGCGATATCACGATCAATACTATTACTTAGTAATGATACACCATGGACAAGGTTTTTCTCTTGTTTATTTCTGTACAATCATACTTTGCATCAAATTTATTTGCCGAGTAGAAATATGATTTGAGATTTTTATTGTAGTGTGATCTGTACGTCATGCTGAAATAAAATTCTCATGCCATATTTGAACTCGACGATAAATTTGGTATAAAGTATGGCAGCACAGAAACAGATAGGTAGGAAAGACTTTTGTTCACGAGTATACCTATAAGAATATGTTCAGAAACAACTTGAAGATTGAAAAGCATTATTCTCGATTTTTTTCCATATTCTATAGAAAGATACAAAGATAAATAATTCAATCTGAATTTGTGATGTTTTTTTATCAACAACGAAACTTTACAAGTGTCTTCTTAAAAGAATTTTACTTATATCTTTATTAAATGTTACCAGACTAATCAATTATTCATCATTGTAATTAACCATCGTTGTGCTGTCATCAACAAATTCTTTCAAGAAAGAAACGAAATTGGTTTATGCGCTTAAATAATATACTTCCCATACACCAGTCTCATTCAAATGCCAGCACTATTGACTTAATGATAAAAATGATAGAAAGAAAACATTTTGTTCTACTATTAAACGCCGAAAAGATAAGAAGAAAAATCAAGGTGGTGGTACCTTAGCCTGCATATAATGCAAGACACTCTTTTATTATTTGATGTAGTTGTTATTACACAATAAATTACTTTCTTCTTTACATTTATCGCAAATATCGAAACAAATAATAATATCATTTTTAATTTTTCATGGCAAATAAATCATCATCTACTAGTACTACAGCCTCCTCTACCGACAATAATCAATTGATAGACACAAGTGATAATGAAGAAAATAAAGAAAGTACGACACTTCTTTGGTTTGATCCAAATATTGGATCACGTCAAGATACTGAACTAACTAAACAAAAACTTCGTCTTATTAATGATTATGTTATTTTTCATACAGATCTTGATCAAAGTGTGACATTTATTCAATCCACTGACAAAGAAAAAATATTTCTGATTACATCTGGATAAAAAGCATTACAATTATTACCACGAATTTCTTCTCTTCGTCAAGTCGATTCCATTTTTATCTTTTGTATGAAAAAAGAAAAATATGAACATTTGACAAATGAATATTCTAAAATCATTGGTATTTATGTTACTCTTGGTGAATTATGTAAATCAATAGAAGAACAAATTGATCTTTTTGATAAACAACTACAAACATTTAGTTATTTTGATCAATATCAAAAATCAACAAAAGATTTATCTAAACAATCAGCGGAATTTCTTTGGTTTCAATTATTCAATCATGTCATAACTCGTCTTCCACGAAATTAACAAGCAAAACAACAAATGATTCAAATGTGTAAACACTATTATCGTAGAAATCCAAAAGAGCTTACATTAATTGATCAATTTGAACGAGAATATCGATCAGAAGAAGAAATTTGTTGGTATTCAAAAGAGTCATTTGTTTATAAATTGATTAACAAAGCACTAAGAAGTGAAGATATTGATTTATTGTATACATTTCGTTTTTTTATTGGAGATTTATCACAAAATCTCAATCGTGAACATGAAAAGATTTTAACATCTGAAGAAGAGATGTTAATTGTTTATCGAGGAGCGAAACTTGATAAAGAAGAATTTGATAAACTAAAAGAAAATCAAGGAAAACGAATTTCAACTAATGGATATTTATCAACTAGTCAACTTCGATAACTAGCACTTGCCTTTGCAATAAAATCAACAAAAAGAGTAGATGTTGTTTCTGTACTATTTCAAATCAAATATTATGTTAAACAAATTGGTAAAACTGTTATTTTTGCTGATATTACACAATTTAGTGAGTATCCAGAAGAAAAAGAAGTTTTATGTGATTTAAATGCTTGCTTTACAATTGAATCTATTGAACAAAATGAATCAATACAATTAATTAATATGAATGTATCAAATGAAGGACAAATAATCACAAAAGATTATATTGAATTAACACAAAAAGAAACAGAAGAAAAAAGTGTTTCGATTGTATTTGGAAGATTGACGTGTAATTTAGGTTATTATGATAAATCATTGAAATATTTTCAACAGTTATTAAATGATCCTAATGATGAAGATCTTGCTTGGATTGAGTATAGTATTGGTAGAGCTCTTCATTTTAAAGGTGAATTGCAAGAAGCGAGAGAATATTATAATCGTGCATATGATCGAATGATGATGAATAATCCAGCACGCATCAAAGACTCAGCTCCTGTACTCAATAATATTGGGCTTGTTCTTCATAAGCAAAGGCAGTATAATGAAGCTCTCAACTATCATCAACGAGCACTGAAAATGAAAGAGAAATATTATCCATGTGGCCATGTTGGTATTGCTACAAGTTTGAATAACATTGGTCTTATTCTCTACGATCAAGGAAAGTATGACGAAGCACTCGGCTATCGTCAATAATCATTGAAGATGAGAAAGAAATATTATCCATCTGATCATGTTGATATTGCTACGAGTCTCAACAACATTGGTAATATTCTCCGTCAGCAAGGGAAGTACGATGAAGCTGTTGACTATTATCAGCGGGCACTAACTATTTATGAGAAGTTTCATCTTGTGGATAATCTTAGTCAAATAACAACCGAGCGCAATATTCGTGAACTCACTGGGAAAAATGAACTCGTTAAATTATGATATAGCAAACAATATGATTTTTATGTACTTTGAAAAGAAGTTTTGTTATGAGCTTCATTCGTAAGGGGAAAAAATTATGATGTGAAGTTTTATGAATAGGATCTACTTTTGTTTGAAATAAACTCGTTACATTAATAAATCAACTTCACATCTGAAGAATAATTTATCTTTAATGGTGACTTAGATATGTCGATTTCAGCATTCCAAGGGTGCTCAACTGTAAGTTCGATTATACATCTCCATGAATGAAAAACTTGGTAGTAGATCGTTTCGTTTGCTTTCGATAACGTCAACGAAAGCGAAATTCTAGCACTCTGGAATCTTAAATAATTAAATCAAAAAGTAATATTCTAAATATTTGATTTATATTCTTGATATTCTTCCAGTGACTTTCTTCAGAGTTTCAGATCAATTGAAGTCATTTTGAAAACAAAAAAGTTTTCTTCTTATGTACGTCTTATCTCGTGGTTCTAACATTCATCGAATAGTTGTAGAAAAGGAATATTAAATATTAGTATTTAACATTAGAACACGTTCGCCAAAGGATGAGGGTGATTTCGCTTGTTAAATCGGTTCTATTTGAAACTTAAAAGAAACTATCACTCATCATATACAGTTTCCAAGGTAACTTTCGCTACTTTTTCAACACATCACATTATCCTTATTAACAGTAGATCTGTAGTATGATTCAATTATTTACAAGGTAAAAAGGATCTGACTATTATATGAGGCAGTTTATTGCAATTCTTTTCGTCAGAATAACTAATATCCAATCTGTTTTTTTTATGAGATAGCCTTATCACACTGCTTCATACAATAGCTAAACCTTCCTGATTGTGTATATCGTTATATCCATCAAATAGATTACTGTACATTAGGACAATATGATATGTTGAAAGAATGAAGCTGACTTCCTTTCTTTGTACATATGATCAGTAAAACTATATTATAGTTTTCAAATAGAGCCAATTTTGCTATCAAATCTATCTCTACTCTTTACAAAATATGATAAAATGTAGAAGGACATTTTCCATTAAACAACATTCTCTTCGCCATATTTAGGTTCCATTCACAAACATATACATGATTGTAAACAAGAAATAAACGAGTAAAATATCCAATGCTTTCATAAGACTTATACCATTGTCTCGTTAACACATGCTGGGTATGGATGTACAGAAACAAAGGATTCATACCCACACTCACACCCACACCCATTTTATCGGTTGCGTCGTACATGGGCTAATGAAATCATGAATGATGTTTAGTTTTAAAGCATAATGTTCAACTCTTGATTAGACTAGAAAATACTGTTCCATTAACAAGGAAAACTCAACACTTGAAGTCTTCCATCTTGATCTTGCCAGCTTGTGATGCCTTGGTGATCCAATCGTTGATAGCTCTTTGCATAGATCCATCGCGGCTCAGTGCAGTGGATTGACCTACAATTCCTTGAGCCTTATCTGGACATTGAAATCTAGCATCCCATTTCCATTGCCAGCTTGAAAATCGTCCTTTTAAATTACCTTTACATTGATTGCCACAAATAGAAATTGGTGTATCTGCACCCCATTGATGAATCTTCCA